CGGCACTGGGGATCACGAAGGCGATCCCCGGCAGGGACCCGCCTGCGGCTGGGATCGCAGCTTGCAGGTAGAGCGGCAGCCGAGCATCTGCTGGAGCTGGTGCAGACACCTCAGGAATCTCTTGCTCCTGCTGCGCCGGGGCTGCCCGAGGTCCCTCAGCCCCAAATCCAGCTTCCATCAATCTTGGCCTTTGTGCTCATCAGTCAGGAAGCGAGTTTGCCCTGCGGGATGTCCCGCTGCCTCCAGGAGCTGCGGGAGCAGTTCCATGAGGGATGACCATGTGCAGCAGTGAGACGTGAAACCGCAGCAGACAGGGACCCAGGAACTGACTGGGATTCCTTCTCCAGAATAAACACGGACTAAGGGTAGATTTCCCTGAATTGTGGTTTAATTTCATTATCTACTGCTGCTACATCTGTACAACATTGTACAAAATGTAATCCCAAGAACATTCCCGCCCCGCTGTTGGCTCTGCTCTCTCCTGTCACGAAGTACCCTTGGCGCCTTGGTTGTGACCCTCCCACAGCCGCCACAACATTCTGCTGTCCAGGCCCGGTGCTGGGAGCCCCTGGCCATGGCAGGAGGTGCCTGGGAGCCCCTCGGGTTTCTGCTCACCCAGGATGGATTTTCCACCTCTTTTGCTCGAGGCAAAGCAGTGCCGTGGCCAGGGGCAGTTGGGTGCACAGGTGATGCTGGGGGTGATGCAGGACTGGCACAGACTTTGTGCAGCACATGCTGAGGGTTTGGGGAGTTGCTGTGCTCACACACTGCTTGTAGACTGCCAGTCCTTCCCACCAGAGCACTTGCACTGGGAGCCTCACCTGGCCCATGCCAGGATGGTGTGAGATTTCATCTCCTGCCCAGACAAAATGAGCAGGCAGATATCTTTTAAACTTTGGGGTTAGGGAAGATAATCTACTTAGCAGCTACTGGTAGTAGAACATATGCAGAGCTGCTTTTGCCCGATTTGGGAAACTTGCAGAGAATCACATGGAATCCAATGGCTTGAAAAAGCATATGTGAAAGGACCAGAGATCCCTGATGTCCAGCAAGGTCCTTGTTGTGGGTGAATGCTGTGGCAGGATGGTCTCTCCCACCACTGAAAGTTTCAATTTGGCCAATTATTTTTCCTCTCATTTTCTGTGTTCCTTAAGCTTCTAAGCTGCGTTTTAAAGGTCTCATAGATAGCCTGATTATTAAAAAAAACCCATACAGTGCTCTTAAAGCTTTTTCCCCCCAGTATTGATGGCAATGCAGCATCCTGTTCAATATGCAATCACTGGATCTGAAAAATAACACCCTCAGACTGTGAAGAACATCTGACAATAAATGCACAGCCTTCATATGGACAAGTCCTCACCAAAACCTTCCCATCCTTGGAGCCAGGCAGGGATGTTCTCAGCAGGGCCACGCTACAGGGAGGAGTCTGAAAGTGAGAGTGAGAGAGAAGCAGCTCAGGGTTGTAGTGAGGAAGATCAGAAATAGTCTGAAAAGCTCCCTGGGAGGGGCTGCTGAAATATTACAGGGCCTAAAAGTCTGCAAGAGGGTAACAGGGGTTTAACTGACCCGTCTTGCCACTCCTGTAATCCCAGCAAGGTATTTTGCATTTAAAGAAAAATATTTGACTCCAGGTAAAGGATATTTCACTGGGTACAGTCACCAACAATATTTACCCCTAAGTCTATCCAAGAGTCTATCTCCAGCCATCCCACTGCCTTTCCATCCACAGGAGGATCCCAGTGCCTCTGACCATGTTGCTCTTTTCTCCCTTTGTGCTGGCTTTGGCCAAACATCAGCTGCTCTCTCAATGCTCCCCTCACCTGGCACATTTGCCAGGGTCTTTATTCTGCAGCTTCTGCACTCAAGAAAAATCTAACCTTGATATTATCCTACCTAATGAAGATGGGATTGTTCCTTCTAAAAAATTTGCTCAACTTCAGCCAAAACCTCTGTAGAATGATGTAGGAACCAAGTGGTCTTTCCCATCTTCCTTTTTATTTCTGGTATTTGATCACGAGTACAATGATCAGGAATTCAGTTAAACATCCCAGAGGCACCATTGCTTTGTCAGCAGGTGGAGCTGGCTGGGCCCCATTTCTGAGGCCCTGGGCAGCAGGGACAGCCCTGGATCTGCCAGGGAAGCAGCAGTGCATTACCTTTGATGGCGAGGAAGGCTTTGCTGAAGGCACGGCCCACTTCATTGCTGGCTTCCACCATGTACTCGCCCTCGTCCTGCTTGGTGACCCCCAGCACCACCAGCGAGCACACGCCGAAGTCGTTGGTGCAGAAGTAGTTGGGATCTCTGGAGAGGTCTCTGCTGTCCTTGTACCAAGTGACTTTTGGTGGGGGATGGCCTCCCACAGCACAGCTCATGTGGCACTCGCTGCCTGTCACCACCACGTGGCACTTCAGCGGCACCAGGAACCTTGGGGGCTGGTTCTGGTTAACTCCCCTGTATTTCTGTGCTTTCACTCGAAATTCAGCTGTGAAATATAAAGCACCAAACACACACTCAGACACTGCTCCCAGCACTGCAGGGTTTGCAGCGGTTTGTTCGTGCAGTGTCTGGAATTCTGCAAATTACCAGAGATCCCATGCACCTATGGATTGTAACTTCTGCTGCTTCTCAGAACTACACAACGTTTAACTTCAAAGTCAGAAACTTTGGTTCTACAATAATAAATCCTTAGATTTTGCTGGAAATTCATTTTGGGGCAAACTGCATGTAATGATGGCTGGGAATGAGGGTCTGTCTGCATAATGCCCCTGCAGAAAGGACAAACCTTCCCTGCCCAGCTGGAATTCCTCAGGGCATCTCTGTGCATTCCTGTTCTGGGCCACTGAATATTCACAGAAGCAGAGATCCATTTGAGGGCAGGGTGTTAGAAGCAATGAAAGAAACAAAACACAACACAGAGAAATACTTGAAAATGTTTTACCCTTTTTTTTCCAGATCCTCCAGGGCTGCACAGTCTCTGATGGATCACTGGCTCCCACGTCATTTTTTGCCACAACCCTGAAGTAATAATCCCTGCCTGGGACCACCCTGGTGAAGGTGAACTTGTTGTTGTAGATCAGGTCCCCCAGCACATGCCACAGGCCCTTCTGGGACTCCCGTTTCAGGACAGTGTAGTACAGGTTCTTCTCCCACTGCTCAGAGGCTGAGGGCTCCCAGGTCACTGTCACTGTGTTGGGGACATTCTCCTCCAGCTGGATGGCTCCAGGGGGCTGAGGGACATCTGCCAGGGGAGGGCACACAATGTCACAGCTGTGGGGACAGGGGCACAGAACCCTAAAATCCTGGAGTCTGTTGCATGTGCGGGGCTCAGTGACCATGCTGGTCACTGGAACGGACAAAATGCCATTCCTTGTGCAGGCACACAGCTGCATTTGCCATGGACTGAGCTGCTGCTGCACAACATCTGCACTGCCAGGAGGGTGGTACGGCTGAGCTGCTTCTCCTCCTGGGGTCACAGCTGGCAGAGCTGTGCTCAGTGTCCCACAGCCTGTGCTGACCTCCCTCATGCACTGGGGAAGGACAGTTTTAGTCAGTGGATTGCTCTGTCCTGCAGACAAGTGAGATCACAAAGTGCCTCGACAATCTCATAGAAAGCTGTATCCTGCTTCTCCCTGTGCCTGCACAGACAAACTGCAGCAGAGCTCATGCTGCTAAACTCAGCTTGTGGCCTTCTGCCTACCCACAGTAAATCATGGAATCCCAGACTGGTTTGGGTGGGAAGGGACCTAAAAGCCCATCCAGTCCCACCCCCTGCCATGGGCAAGGACACCTTCCACTATCCTGGGTTGCTCCAAGACCAGTCCAGCCTGGCCTTGGACACTTCCAAGGATCCACGGGCAGTCACAGCTTCTCTGGGAAACCTGTACCACCCTCACAGGGAGGAGTTCCTTCCCAATATCCCATCTAACCCTGCCCACTGGCAGTGAAAAGCCATTCCCCCTTGTCCTGTCCCTCCAGGCTTTTGTCCCAAGCCCCTCTCCAGCTCCCTTGGAGCCCCTTTGGGCCCTGGAAAGGGCTCTGAGCTCTGCCCAGAGCCTTCTCTTCTCCAGGTGAGCACCCCCAGCTCTCCCAGCCTGGCTCCAGAGCAAAGGGGCTCCAGCTCTCTGAGCATCTCCGTGGCCTTCCCTGGAATTGCTCCAGCAGCTCCAGCTTCTTCCTTTGCTGGGTGTCCCCAGGGCTGGGGCAGCTCTGCAGGTGCGGTGCCACCTCAGGGGGCAAGGGGCAGAATCCCCCCTGCCCTGCTGCCCACGCTGGGGATCAGCCCAGGGCATGCCCAGCTCTCACCCACCCGCAGCCCCAAGTCCTTGTCCAGGGCTGCTCTCAGTCCCTTCATGCCCCGCCTGGACTGGCCGGGAGCCGCTGCTACATTGCATGGGTGGCAGTGAGTTACCTGTGACTTGAACCTGGAAGCTGAAGGTTTCGCTTTTGCCCAGCCCATCCCCGAGCTCCACAGTGTAGGTGCCGCTGTCGCCGGGCTCGGCTGCCCGCAGCAGGAGCTGGCTGCTCCCCTCCCCGGTGCTCACGGCAGCGCGGCCGGGCAGGGGCAGCCCGTCCTTCAGCCACGTCACCGCCGGCTCGGGAGATCCCTGCAAACAACAACCACTCACTGCCGCTTCTTTCACCTCCACACTGGGTCCTGTGTCTTTAGTCTCATTATCTTACCCCAAACATGCACCTCCTCTACACAGTAATGTTCAGAAGTACAGATCCACGATGGATCTGAGAGCCCTGATCTGTTCTACAGTTTCTTTATGAATTCTTTTTCCTTTTTGTCTTTTAAGGATGTAAGTGCAGTAAAGTGTTCTTTTGAACTGTGTCGAACAGGCTATGCCAGATCAAGGACAGATAACTTCAGCAGAGAGTATTTTCTGCTGTAAAAAAAAAAAAAGATGTTGGTTTTGGAAAGAAAAAAATACCCTATAAGTCTTTATTTCCATTATGCCATCTTTGGGCTCTTCTCCCAGAGATTAGGAGAAAGGCCAGCAAATACACACACACTTCATTACCCTCCTCTGGTATCCCAGACTTTAGAGGATCATGGAGTCATTTATGTCTGGAAAAGACCTCCAAGAGCATTGAGTCCAACCCATGCCTCATCCTCACCTTAAAAGCACTTTTACACTTTTTACACAAAAGGTGTTCCTTGGACACCTCCAAGGATGGGCACTCCAAACCTCCCTGGACAGTCCCTTCCAAACCTGACCACCCTTCCCATGAGGAAAAGCCTGTGTTGTTCCAAGCTCCCTCCAAAGCACTGAGGTTTCTCTCAGTGCCTGCCAAGTTCTCAAGTGCTGCTGCTTGGTGAGACAAGCCCAGTGAAGGTGCTGCTGGAAATGGTGCCCCAAGGCCTTCTGAGGGAGTCACAGGGAAATCTCTGATTTGGGCAGTCTGACAGAGCAGCAGCAGATGATGGTAACATTGATAAGGCTGGGTGGACAGCACTGAGCCTTGTGGCAGAGGTTAAGGAATGACCACAATGTCATAAACACCAATGCCAAGACTGACTGCTCGATTCTGGCTTGTGTTTTCCTCACCCTGAAAGTCTACACAGCACAGGCAGGCCAAATTATTTGCCCAGTGACTTGTAAACAAAATTCCATGACATAAAAACAGCGGCTCAATTTTCCTGTCTGCCATAAAACCAGGCAGGGAATTCCTCCAAAGCCCTGAATACCCACCTCAAAGGGAATCTTCACCCGGATGGGATCCCCTGCTTTTATAAGCAGGAAGCTTTTCATTGTGTCATCTATCAGGAACCTGGGAGGAACTGGAAGAGACAAAGATTACTCCCAGAAGGTGATGTTGGTGCAGTCCCTGGTGACAATTGCAGTGTTCCACCCCCTGGTGCCTCTCCCACCTGAATGAGGCTGCTGAGGGACTCACAGTGGGAAAAAGCTCCCTGGTTCAGTTCCAGACTGTACACCTCTCAAATTTCATTACTATTTATTATCACCATGACTAAACAAGGGAAAATGATGTAAAAATGCATTCACAACAATCTCTGTATTCATGTGATGTCTCAGTCACAGAGAAATGGGCTCTTTGCCACACTTTATCCCATCATAGGGATCATCTTTTGTGTTTAAATGGTGGCTGGAAAAAGGAAGTTCCAATGGACACTTATAAAATATATATGCAGTACAGAGCACAGAACATCCACAGGAAAGCTGCCAGAGTTTATCTAAAATGGTATTTTTTAGCATTTAAAATATTTTCTTTTCTCTTTTCATCAATATACTACACCAATTATGATTTATCTAAGCATACCAAATACAGTAATGCTAAATTGCATTTAGTGTTTCCAGTGTAGAACTGAACACCTGCTTTAGATGGATTTATTTGATTTTTTTTTTATGTTTTTTATTGATAAATGGAGTCTCCAGGCATATGCCAAAGCAGACATTTTCACTTAGAATCCAATTTAAGGAAGATGAACCCCTCAGAGAATTATCTCTTACATCTGTAATTCTGCAATGTTCCCAAAGAGCAGGGAAAAAACAGAGCTGCAGATTGTAAATAAAAATGGAAAAGTGAAAATGGTGAAAACTTTCAAACTAAACAATTAAAAAATAAAATAAAGTATCCAAAACATAATTTAAAATTGTGATTTAAGAGAACAAAATAAAATTTTTAATTTCAGAAGATTGTCTAAAAATGTAATGGAAACTCTATTTTTCCCTTGGAAGAGTGCAAGCAGGGCTAAAGGCACACACAGGTTCTGTCTGGTGACTGTGGAGTGGCCCTGGACAGGGGGCAGAATGTAAGTACAAGGAGAAAATGGAGTTCTGAGAGTTGTTTTATCCAAAGGAGTCTCTAGATGAGCTGAGCACTGTGCACTGCCTATCTGCTATCAGTTAATACCGACACTGCCCGGCTGCGGTGAGCAGAGAAGCCCGAGGGGAGCGGGAGCAGCGCTGCCCTGGGCGAGGCTGGGCCTGGGGGCGGCTGCTGCCGGTGCGCCACAGCCCGGCCGCTGCTGCCGCTGCTGCTCCGGGACAGCGCCCGGGGAGAGTGCCCCGTTCCGGGGACAGAGAGCTGGGGACAGTGGACCCGTTCCGGGACAAAGCCGGGGAGAGTGCCCCGTTCCGGGACAGAGCCTCAGGGAGAGTGCCCCGTTGCCGGGGAGAGTGCCCCGCTCCTGGGACAGAGCCGGGGAGAGTGCCCCGCTCCTGGGACAGAGCCGGGGAGAGTGCCCCGTTCCGGGGACAGAGCCCCAGGGAGAGTGCCCCGCTCCCGGGGAACACAGCCGGGGAGAGTGCCCCGCTCCCGGGACAGAGCCGCGGGCCCCGGACTCACCCAGGGCAGCAGCAGCAGCTCCAGCACACGCCTCCAGCTCCGTGGCCTCCCCGGGGCCGCCGTCGCCGAGGGCCCTGACGCGCAGGAACAGCTTCTCCCTGGCCTGCAGGCCCTGCACCCGGCACGAGGTGCTCCCGGCAGGGAGGGTGAAGCACTTGGTCCAGCTGAGGCTGTTACAGGGCCTCATCTCCACCTCATAGCCTTTCACATCATTCCCATCTTGTACTTCAGGTTTGTTCCATGTCAGGGTGACACTGGTGCTGTCACTGCTGCTCACTTTAAGGTCCTGCACTTGGCCTGGAGATTCTGGACAGAGAAATTTTATTTCAACTATTTTTCTAGGATTTCTCTTCCCTCTTCAGTCACTGCCTGAGATTCCCGACATTCTTGCAGTGCACTGGATTTCCACCATGCTGTGTTGCTCCACATCCCAGTTTTTCAGAGCTGGATCTGGGTCCTTGCTCCTATCAGCCCTGCATAAATCCACAACATTCCAAAACACTCTGTGGCCCCTCCGAGTGTTCTCCACACTGCACATTTCCCCCCACTGGGTACTGCCAAATCTTGACTTCGACATCCTACAGGAAATCCTTCCATTCCTTCCTCCAGTTGATTCTCAGCCATGAAACATTCCCCAATTACTGATCCTTGTCTCCACATGCTTTTACAGAGGATTTAAGAACATCTCTCTATGAATACCCTGAAAGCACAGCACAGGGCAGGGCAGGGCACTTACTGGTGGGGTCCCGGGCAAAGGCAGGCTCTGAGGGGTCACTGGGCTCTCCTGTGCCAGCAGCATTGACAGCTGCCACACGGAACTCATACTGCACACCCTTCTTGAGGCCTGTCACCTTCAGTTTCTTGTCTGTGGAAAGGAGAGAGAGAGGAGAGAAGAGAGGTGTTGCCTCAGGGAAGCTGTTCCCCATCAGGAAAGGTGACACAACAAAGCTGTGCCTTACTTCAGGCAGAGTTATGGACGGAAAAACTCTCAGGAGCCATAAAAGCTGTCACTGATTCCCCTGCCATTCCCTAGCCAAGTGCATGTGATCTTCTGGGATGTGTTCATTGTATTATTTTCAAAATCAAACAGCCCTTGAATCACAGAATCATTTAGTTGGGGAAGACCTCCAAGGTCACCCATCACCACCTTGATGTGAAAGGTGTAAGATCCTAAGCAGCTCCCAAACCCAAGCTGACATTTTTGCCTTTTCAAATGCCCCAGGCTGTTCCAGGAATCAGATACCCACCTTTGACAGGCGCGTTGGTGACGGGCAGCCAGGTCACTGTGCCCTTTTTGCGTTTCTGAACAATGTATCCCTTAATTTGGGAAGTGCCGGTTTTACAAGGAGCTTTCCAGGATATGGTGATGGTGTCCTTGCTGGCACTGATGATCTCAGGGCGATCTGGGGCACCAGGGGAACCTACAAAGAGACGAGGGCTTCATTATTAGCAGGTATGTTTTTATGGCAAGATGAAATGGTGCTGTGTGGAATCTCTTCTTCCAGATTCCCCCAAGTATTCCTATGGATGTGCTTTGGCTGAGACCTGAAGCTGTGGATCCTGTTTCCCACACAAACTGGATCCAGCATGGATCCTGTTCCTTAGGTTGGATTTCACAAAAGACCTGCTGTCATCCAGACAATTTCTCTGCCAGTGGGGTGTGTCATTCCCACATATGAACAATCAGCATCATTCTTGCTTACAACAACAGGAACTGGTAACAAAACAGATTTTCTTTGCCCTCTGCTAAAGTGTCCAAGGTACAGAATTATGGGAATGAGAATGGAGACAGAAGATAATTAGAATTGAACATTGCTCTCTCTAGTACTGCATTTGTGCTCATGGCAAACCTGTTCTAGTATTTAAACTTCTTGAAGGACAAAACCAATATTCAGTTGTTTGGAGATTGGGGGAGTGGAGTGGTCATGCTGTGAAGGGCTGCACATATAAGTTCTTTTGCCTGTGGAGTTAAGAAAAGGCTTCACATGTTCCCTTTGCAGCCACACTGAGAAAAATTTCCTTTGATCTTGATGCGTTTTGCATTTCCCTCATGAAACTTCCTTTCCAATCCAAAACAGAGCATGACCAAGGAATAATTACATCTCACTCAACATCAGCAGAGCCTACAACAAAGCTGGGCAACCTCCACAGCTTTGTGTGGAGACTGAAGTTGAGATCTGTAGCAACATCCACAATGCAGTGGAGTGAGTGAGTTTCCTCTGACGTCAGCTTTGATAATGAATTTACCAATTTGAATTTTGAATTATGAATTATAAGAAGCTCTCCTCACCTTTACCGGCAGCCTTCACTTCCCCTGACTCCAGCGCATCGCTCACTCCCTCGGCATTCACGGCCCTCACCCTGAAGTAGTAGCTCATCTCTTCCTCCACTTTGTTTGTGGTGAAGCTGGTGCAGCTCCTGGGGGTTTCTCCCAGAGCCTCCCAGTCGTTCCTGCCCACCTGCTGCCTCTCCACGAGGTACCTCTGCACTGGTTTGCCCCCGTCGTCCTTTGGGGGCTTCCACTGGATTGTGATGTTGTTGGCGGAGCTTTCAACAATTTTGATGGGTCCTGCTGGAGGCTGTGGCTTGTCTGGAAAGATGAACAGAGACACAGCTGGCTCCAGACCCAGACCTGCTCCTGGGTTTGGAGCAGACACTGTCCCTTGCCCACCAGCTGGGAGACTGTTCCTGATGAAATGCAGGCACAGTGGTAGGATGAGGGCTGGGCATGTGAATTGCCTCTTCCAAACTTGACCTCTTCTAACTTTTGATGGAGAAGATGGAAAGCCAGGCCCTTGCTCTCCCTGGGTCAATAGTTCTCATAAGAATTGCACCAGTTCAGCTTGCTAATACAGGCAAAACATCATTTCTGGTCTCCCAAGGGAGTCCAGACATTTATGGGAGGGCTGAATTGGACCTTGATATCCTATTTCAGATTTGCATGCTGTGTACAGTCACATCTCCTACAGTGTCTGAACACCCAAAACTCAGCTGCTTAGGCCATGAAAAACCAAACTAGGTTTGTTTTCCCTTGTACTAAAGGGCATGAAGCATGTTCAGCAATCTTTCCTTGTACCCTGATTTTGGGGCAATATACAGAGTCTTGTTCCTTTCTAAATACCCAGTCACTCCAAACAAGGTTGTCACCAGTGTCAATGGATTCCCTGCCTAAGCTTTACAGTGAAAGCCACAGTGAAGGTTATAGGATCTTACCTATCACCATGAGCTTTAGGTTGATCTCCAGGACACCACTGTCGTTCTTGAGCCTGACTTTGTAATCCCCACAGTCCCTCCTGTCGCAGCTGGAGATGGACAGCGTGGTGCAGGTGTCTGTCTTGTCCACACGGATCCTGGAGTCATCGCCCAGCTCCATCCTGTCCTTCAGCCACGCTGCCCTGATGGGCCCCCGACCCTCGAATGGGATCCGCAGCTTCACCCCCTCCCCAGCCTTGGCCACCGTGGGGACACTGGTCAAGTTCTTGAGGAGAACTTTGTCCACCTGGGGAGGATCTAAGCAGGTGATACAAGGTCATTAAAAACCACAATTCAAGGAGGATAAGGTTCACCTTGGAGAGAAGGGATCCCCTCATGGTGCTGCCAGCAATGCTTAGAAGCTCACAACTCTTGGATCTGAACCTTTAGTTGTACTTTGCTACAGGATAATTATCACAAAATTTTGTGGTATCCCACTGTCCTTTCACTAGAGAAAATTTCTCCTAGGCAACACACTAAACACAAGAATGAAGAGTCTGCCCTGGTAAAGTGTTTTGTGCACCCCAGAAATATTTGAGTTGCTGGCAGAAGGGTCCTTAGTTAAATTTGCAAATGCAAAATGAACCAACCTGTACAAAAAACATTTCCCATTTATCTTGTAATTCTTTATAACAAATTTATCTCAATAACCAATAACATGTCTCTGAGTAAATATATTACATTTAAAGCCCATCTCATGCTGCCTTGGTGGTTTGAGTAGACTCACCTTCAACAAAAATTGAAGCTTCAGTTTTTACATCTCCACCTTCAAACCTGTATTTCCCAGCATGAATATCTTCAACCTTGTTGATGATCAGTTTGTGGACAAGACCTTTCTTTTCAAATACGACACCATCCATGCTTGTTAACTACAAAGTAAAGGATAGAGACCTATCCTTTTAAAAAAAAAGTAAAAAATGCAATCCATACTAAAACTGGACAGACTACAATTTGAAATGCAGTTGAAGAGATTTAGGAATGTCATGCATATTTAATGACAATATTCTGGTATTCTGTTGCCCAGAGCAGCTGTGGCTGCCCCATCCCTGGACGAGGCTTGGTCTAGTGGAAGGTATCTCTGCCCAGGGCAGGGGTGGGACTGGATGATCTGTAAGGTCCCTTCCAACCCAGACCACTCTGGGATTCTGGGAACCCTTCCAGGGCCCCACTCAGATGCAGGTGGCTGTCAGGGGGAAGGACACCTTGACAGCACCCTTAGGAAGTAGAGCCAGAGAGCAGAGCATTGCTACCCAAAGCCAACACCAAGCTCAGGGAACCCACCTTTAGGCCATCCTTGAACCAGGTTCCTGTCACGTTGTCCCTGCTGACGGTGCAGGACAGCTCAGCCGGGTCCCCCTTCAGCACCCGCACGGTCGCCAGCTGCTTGTTGAGGTAACAGCGCGGGACTGAACAGCACAAAGGAAGGAAAAGAGGCTAAGTCTGTGCTACAGAGAGACACCTAGAGCTGGAAATGCATGTGCACCTGAGGTGAAAAGAGCTTTTAAAAAAAAAGGTCCCCTGGTCAGGAGAGGCTTTTGTGCCACCTCACTGTGGGCCAGCTGGATACACCCAGTGCCTTGAGGACCATCCCAACATCAACTGTATCCCAACATCCACCTCATGGGCAATGGATTCACCACAAATCACATTATCCAGCTGTGGATTTGCTAGTTTATGTCTATGCTAATCATCTTGGCTCCCTCTACAGCCAGTGGAAAAAACCAGGCTGCTCCAGGGTGTGAATATACTGCTTCATCCTCCTCTTCCTCTGCACTGACCACACATGGGGCTGCCCAACACATCCCCCTAAATAGCCCCAGGCACACTGTTCTCCACCCTTGTATTCCTCTTTCTCTTCCCAAGTTCTCTCCATTACCATCACAATCTCCTCTCTAATATATACCCCACTCCTTCCTCCTGAACCCCAGCTTTGATGATTTTACTTCCTTGTTTATATTTATGGTTTAGCAATGATAATTCCTAACTTGTGAACCATCCCATTAGGTCAATATTCCCCTCTGATTATACACCTGAAATTTCTCATGCCTACAATTTTCACATCATCATCTTGTTGGTGGAGCTACAGGTTTTACTCAAATGACTGCAAACACATTACTCCCCTCTTATTCTATGCAACACCTTATTATTCCTGATGTTACAAGAGAAAAGAGCTCTTTACATTATATAATCCCATATATGCAGGCACAGAATTGTTCCCAGGACTTAAAAAACACAGTTCTTTACAGTAGGTGTTTGAAAAATAAAGTGAAATCTTCAGTTTTGAATTAGAACAGTGTCAAAGAAACATGATGATATTCCTTGAAATTTTTGGGAACTGGCATGTTTGTGAACTGGTCTGTTCCATGATATGTGAAACAAAAATGAAGAGATGAGACCTGGTTCAGATCATTTAGACAAAGAAAGTAATTTAGACCTTTAAGGCAGTTTGATCAGAGCACACTGTGTAAGATCAAGCAGGCTATCAGTGGGAGAATTAGGAACAGATCATGGGACAACCAGATTTCTATAGAGTTGTGTTTATCTAAACCATAACATCCAATTTCTTTTCAGGATTAGGGATGTGAGTATCAAAATGCAAAGACCAGGAGTCACCAGTTAACCACGTACCTTTGATATCATCCAGGACACTCCGTCTCTTTTGTTTGCTTTCCGTCTTGTTCAGGGAATCATTTGCTTTAAGATCCACGTCAGGTTCCTGGTTTCTCTGGTTTGCTGAAGGAGGTCCACCGAAAGGACCTGACACCTGGCCATAACTCAGTGGACCTTGACCAAACCCACCTGAGCTACTCCCGTCAACAGATCTGTCATGGGATTTACTCCCTGCCTCTCCAAAGGCAGAATAAAGGGAGCCCAACTGTGTGAAATCTCCTCCCTCTCCCCTGGCTCCTCCTGGACCTGACAGGGACCCTCTGTCACCAGCTGAACCTTTGTTCCCTGGCCCTCTGACATCACTGGCAGTGCCCTTTCCAGTTTCACCTCTCAAAGATCTGCCAAGATGTGCATCCAGCCCATATTCACCTCCTGGGCCACCAGCAGCTCCCACACCTCCTTTACCACCAACTGAATCCCATCCATCCTGTCCAAGCCTCCCAGCTCCACCTGCACCAGCTGTGGCTACACCTGAGCCTCTGTCCTCACCATAGGGAGACCCTGCACCCCACAGGGCAGAGCCTTCCCTGGGAAAGCCCTCTCCTCCTGCTCCACCTGCATATCCCGGAGCTCTGCTCAGTGTGGCATCCGTGCCACGGCCCAATCCCATCGCTTCCTCA